AAAAAAAATGATCATTGTGATTTAAAAAAAAGAAAAGATTATGGGGTGATTCTTTAACAGTCTGGAGATTGGAGGCATTCATTGGCAAGATCTTGTTTTTATACTATACAATGAGCGTTTTATCTTCAGAATAAAATAATCCCCTATCATAAATGAAAACAATACATACCAAAGAAGTCTTTGAAGTCCACTTTCAATTATATACTTGATCATGACTTCTAAATATCTCAGCGGATCCTCAGGACAGGTAGCAAGTAGACCACATAACAGAGCCTTGAAAAAACAATGAAATGGAAAAATGTTTCTGAATCAGCATGTTCTTACTAAGCAGCAGACAGGCTTCCCCTCATACAATTAAAAAGTCAAATAATGTGACAGTTCTAAAATAAACATGCTTTATAGATACTCTCTGTATTTATTCCACCTGAATATTTACTGAAGGCAAATCAAAATGCAGTTTACCTTTCCCCTTTAAAAAAAAAAAAAAATCCATCCACAGTACATGATGCCATAAAATTTGCAATAAGTCACTGTACAGTGCTTTACATTATATGAGCAGTAAGTTATTTTATAGTCAATTTGAAAACATAGTTGTGATGATTTAGATCAGTGGCTTCTACCCTTTTTAAATATAAGGAAGTTTTTTTTAAAAAGTAAAAAAAAAATTCCTCAAATCCAATCATAAAAATGACGGAGAAAATCCATAATCGAAATCTATTGTGAATTCCTGAAGTCTTTAAAAAATTCTTTTGTATATGATCACTCATGAAATCTATAGATCTTATATTCAAAAAATCGCAGCACAGTACACATCAGTAGGAAACAAATGACTTATTGCATCTACGATCACATACACGGAATACATACATGGAATACGTGGAACACATACACGGAACCCAGAAAGTTTCTGCCACCTCATTTTCCACTTTGCGCTCCCCACAAAAGCAGAAACTTCTCATCAGAAGTATCAATTAGACATGTAGAATTTACTGAAGATTTCTCCATTTGAGACAGAGAAGAGTAATAGCACAGATCCCACAGAAACGATCTAGAATTCTCCTTAGACATTTCTCTTTTCCTTTTGGTTCTCTGTCTCAGGGTGAGCCTAGTATAGAAAGGGTTGGGCAGGAAGCACTTTCTTTGGTCCCTCTCCCACATAGGGCCCACTCTGGCTGGCTTTATCCCGGCTCCTCTCTCTCAGGAACAAAATATTTCCACCCCTGGCTCATGCAGCACATTATCACCACCTCCAAGGGCCACATATCAACTGATCCAGGCCTGGGGTCTCACCTTAGACTCTCAGCACTCATCATAGTGTTCCTCCAACAAAAGAGTAATTCTTCTAATTGGACCCTGAATTATACAGTTTCCCCCTTTGCAACAGCTCCATGTCCTCCTCTTAGTGTGCAGCCTGCAGGCTGGGAACCCCTGCTTTCCGACGATGGCAAAATGGTGAGACCTGATCCCTCTTCCTCTCCGGCTCTGCCTTCTGACTTACTGACTTACTGATCCCCATCCCAGCTGTTCACAGTGAGATTTCAGCTACCCACAGATGGACTTCCTTCTCCCAAACGCAAGGAATAGGGTTAGACAGGAAACCAGTGGCTCTCATTACGGTTGCTAGCTGGATTTTAAGAGTCTTCTATTACCTAAGGGCTGAAGTGGCTGGAGGCCAGTCAGACTTCAGACAGCTCCCTGAATAGTCCTGACTAAAGGCCCATCTGCTCTGTGGCACATTTGGGCCTGGGTCTCCAGAGTCCTGAGTTTTGGTACTCCCTACTCTGCTTCCCCGCTTCCATCTTATTCTAGCACCCTGAGGACATCTGATCAGAATCACCTGGGGAAAGAACCTGTCTCTGAGGATGAGGGACCAGGAACCTGCATTTTAACGAGCTCGCCAGGTGGATTTCCTACACACACTCAAGTCTCAGAACTAGTGACTTAACAGAGTTCAGCTTTAAGGTGAACGTTTAAGAAAGATGGTAGTCATCTGGTTAATGAATATGGAAAATGTGTATTACTTTATATTGCCAAGCTCTGTAGATCAGAAAACTACTTTTCCTGAAAAGTTATTCTGCAGAAGTCAAATCAAGTGAGAGGATAAGGCTCTGGGATGCTAACAAAGGCATATGGAACTAGCACAACTGAAATGTTCACTTTTTGCATAAAAAATCTCACTGTTCATCTTTTCCCATTGAACAAATAAAACAGCCTGAGGGTTTTTTTTTTATTATTATTATTGTACTTCAGGTGAAGGCTTACAGAACAA